ACGACATGGCCGAGCATAGCACCTGGTCTGTTTGGCAGTTGCAGGGTCGAGCACCAAGGCCACCTTGACGAGAAATCGATTCAAGATTTATAAAACATTCAGAAGGCGTATACCGACATGACAAGACGCCACTCGCCCTAGCTCGAAATAATTTACTCGATTTGCAGGAAGCCATCTTTTATGTTCAAATGAAATTTTACCCTCGATCTGCCGCGCCGTCAAGTTACGTTACGAATTTCGTTATTGGCATGACTAATTTCCAGCTTGCATATCTTTGTATGCTTTTATTACGGGCAGAGACTTCGAAGTGCGGATGGACATGTGATAGAAGTACGTAATTACGCTGCACGTATAATTACAAAATTGCCTCAGGCAGTAAGAGATTTTACCATGCGAAGCCAAACGAGTTGCCGTTTGGTGAACCCGGCTGACAGCGCAGGTCACTCGGTCAATATCGAGAGCCGGTCCAGCTCCTCTGAGTTCGACAGCTCGCGCGTCCCTGGCTCGCACCCATCCGGTGTCTGGCCTGTCTCTTGCCCATCTGACCCATCTGATCTAGCCCAACCTATCACCAGGGCTTCAAGTCCAGCGCTGGTCTTTCTTATAGCCACCTATTCACCTGACTCACGCCTGACCACCTATCCACCTGATCCACGCCTACCCACCTATCCACCTGACCCACGCCTACCCACCTATCCACCGGACTCACGCCTGACCCACCTATCCACCTGATCCACGCCTACCCACCTATCCACCTGATCCACGCCTACCCACCTATCTACCTGATCCACGCCTACCCACCTATCCACCTGACCCACGCCTACCCACCTATCCACCCGACCCACGCCTACCCACCTATCCACCTGACTCACGCCTGACCACCCTCCTATTGATCGGTTCACTGAGCCCCCTCCCAGTGCGTAACGCACCAATGGACCCCAACCTGCGCGTACCGTCCCCTGAGCCGGGCCACCGGTCCCCTGAGCCACCGGTCCCCTGAGCCGGGCCACCGGTCCCCTGAGCCACCGGTCCCCTGAGCCACCGGTCCCCTGAGCCACCGGTCCCCTGAGCCACCGGTCCCCTGAGCCACCGGTCCCCTGATCCACCGGTCCCCTGAGCCACCGGGTCCCCTGAGCCACCGGTCCCCTGAGCCACCGGTCCCCTGAGCCGGGCCACCGGTCCCCTGAGCCACCGGTCCCCTGAGCCACCGGTCCCCTGAGCCACCGGGTCCCCTGAGCCACCGGTCCCCTGAGCCACCGGTCCCCTGAGCCACCGGGTCCCCTGAGCACCGGGTCCCTGAGCCACCGGTCCCCTGAGCCACCGGTCCCCTGAGATCACCGGCTCCTGAGAGGGCCACCGGGTCGCGCACGCCTGCCCCCCCCCCCCCCCGCCCGCACGGCCGGAGCATGACACGGGGCCGTCCGGCCCGGGCGCCACTCCCGCCTGGGACGCATTACCTCCTTCAATATCCAAATGGCGCCGGCGGCGTGGCCCGTGTGCGGCGGCGTCGGCCATGCCGGGCCGTGCGCTCGCATGCTGAATAATGCAGCGTGTCGTGACGGGTCCCGTGCCGGACCCGAGGTTCGTACGGCCCGCGCCAGGAGGGGAGCCCGCCGCGCCGGCTGGGACTCGGGCCGGTCTGCATGGGGAGGGGAGGGGGGCTCATGACCTACCTGGCTTCACCTCGTGGGCCGGCGGAAAACAAACGGCCCAGGGGGGGCTTGCCGAGAGCTGACCTGGAACTGACCTGGTCTGGCACACGGGTCATACATTGGCGGGAAGCAGGCGGCCTCCGGGACGGCCTGCGGAGGGGCTGACCTGGCCTGACCTGGACCTGCGCCGGGTCGTGCGTCGGTAGGAAACAGGCGACCGGGAGGTCCCGAGGGGTTGACCTGACCTGACCTGACCTGACCTGGTCTGACCTGGCGCCGACTCGTGGGAAGGCGGGAAACAGACGGGCGTGCAGGGGGAGACGT